CGAAGCCTCGTACAAGATCGGCATCCAGAACGCGACGTGGCTCGACGACGAGACGCGCGAGAACGGTATCACGAAGCTCTCCAAGTTTGTGCACTTGATCGGCGCGCCCGAGAACCCGCAGACGTACCCTGGTGTCTCGCTCGACGCCAAGGACTATGTCGGCAACCGCAACAAGATCAACACGTTTGACACGGAGGCCAACCTCAAGATGATTGGCACGCCCGTCGACCGCAAGAAGTGGAGCTCGCCCGCGTCTGAAGTCAACGCGTGGTACAGCCCACGCCTCAACTCGATCACGTTCCCGGCCGCCATTCTCCAGACGCCTTTCTTCTCGGGCAACTCCGACCCGGCGCAGAACTTTGGTGCCATCGGCATGGTCATTGGCCATGAAATCACGCACGGTTTCGACAACTCGGGCCGCAACTTTGACGGTGACGGCAACCTCAAGCCGTGGTGGACCGACGAGACTGCGCTCGAGTTCAACAAGAAGGCCAAGTGCATTTCGGACCAGTACAGCGGCTTTGTCGCCAAGAGCGAAGTGACTGGCGAGACGCTTGGCTATGTCGACGGCCGCCTGACACTCGGTGAGACGATCGCTGACAACGGTGGTCTCAAGACGGCCTTCCGCGCGTACCAGACATACACGCAGACCAACCCGTCCAAGTTCACCAAGGAAGTCGGTGACAAGGTCTTCTTCCTCTCGTTCGCGCAGGGCTGGTGCTCCAAGAACACGGACAAGTACATTGAGCGCATGCTCAAGGGCGTCCACCCGCCGGGCAACTTCCGCGTCTACGGCGCCGTCCAGAACAACGACGCGTTCGCCACGGTGTTCAACTGCCCTGTCAACTCGGCCATGAACCCGACCAAGAAGTGCTACCTCTGGGAGTAGACGCTTAGTGCTTGCATCGAGGTTTTACGAAAATATATTTTGGGCGCTTGAAGAACCCAGTCTCTGTTATGGTGGACGTACTCGATAAGCTTTAGGACTTTATGGTTCTACAGGCGGGCCTTTTCGACATGCCGTCAGCTGGGTTGGTCGAGTGCAAATCATACGGTGGTGCATCGCACCTTGGCCTTTGAGAGAGCTGGGCGTCATGATCATCCTCGGCCTTATCGGGAATGTTCGGAGTTGCTCGGCAGTTCGCAGGAAGTGCGTACCAAGATTACGCGTCTCTCTCAAGAACAAGCACTTGCGCGATGTTACGGATCTTGCCAAGCAGTGTCGTTCAGTTTATGCGACACCAGCTAACAGCGACTGCCTCGCAATGGGCCGGGTCGAAAAATTAACTTTCAGTCTAAGCGGTATATATCTGATTTACCACCAAGTAGATCGGGGTTCGAGTCCCGGAGAGAGCCCCATATTCTGATTGATTACGTGTCATGGTCCGCGAGCGTTTCTAAGCACGTCATTCACGCGCACGGCGGCACCTTCGCATTGTCATAGCGACGGTGTTTGATATCGTCGCCATCTATGCTCTCGAAACACACCACGGTGTTGTGCTTCGAGAGGTTCGAGACAGGAAATGCTGTATTGCTGTACCAATTTACGACTAGGGGGTTGACAACCTCATGGTTCATATAGCGCTCATGCTGGCTCAAAACGACGTTAATAAGGTTTGTTATCATCGGCATGCGCAAGGATTGATGCGATATCACTTCGCGGACGTGGCTCCAGCAACGCAAGGAGGAGGCCGAGCTCGACGCCAAGCAGCGAAAAGAGCACGCCAGAAACGACGGAACGCCCAGCTGCAGGAGCTACGCGCAGCCCATTCGACGGCCAAAGCGGGGCTCGTCGGTGTCACCAAGGCTATAAAATTGCTCATTTTTGGTGGCAAACCCAACGATGACGACGAGGTGCGACGGTCTCCACACGTTTGCATTTGGACGACCTGGTTGTTCATAGGTGGCGATGATTCTGCGCGACTTGCAACTCGAAGCCAACCGCGCGGAAGCCAACGTGCGAGAAACGATCGAGAACAGTTAGCGCCCTCTTTCCGTGCTTTAGGCTAGGGTATCCGGGTATGGTATACGAATAGTACACCGTTGTTGGCGCCATATTACTTAGGTTGCGACTCGGTGTTTTGGTCATGTCTCTCATACAATCAGACGCCAAACGATAGTCCAAATGGCTCAAATGATGGATGCTCTGATCGATGACGTGTCATGACAACCCATGACCGCCACCCACCATCCTTGATGATGGCTTTGAGAGTGATGGTCTATCATCCCCCTTCCTCGTCTACAGCTAATGTGTAGGTCATTTCTACTTGTGCCATGTGGACGAGCATCGCGGATGTGCAGCCGGTGATCTTGGCCTTTGCCGGGCCGCTGACACAGTACCTCAACGGCGCGCTCGACGCAGAATTGCACTTATACGACACCAACCGCGAACGCACCGTGGCGCGCATCTGGGCAGACGCCTTTAGCATGGATTGGCGCGGGCACCTCGAGCGTCTCCCACCGTGGACACACCTGTGCATGACCACCTGTGCTCACATTCGATCCAGGACCATGTACAGCAACGTGATGGCGTACGTTAGCACCAATTGCTGGTCCTTGATCGATCGGAATCAATACTGCAACAAGAACTTTGCACTTCCGACGTACGCGGGCTGGACACTCGACATTGAGCTCTGCGACACCGATGCCGCCCCGATGGAAAACGTGTGGCTCGATGTCCTCGCACCATTCCTCGACTTTCCCATCGCTCTCGCGCACGCCGCGGTCATTGGCGGGCATCTGGAGCTCCTCCGCTACCTCATCCGCGAGAAGGGCATCGTTGTCGCTGACTTTGGCTACATCCACGAGTACGGCCGCAGTGGTCCGGCGATGGACGTTGCCGCCTCGTACGGTCATCTCGAGGTTCTCAAGCTGCTTCACGACCGCGGTGCACCCTTGTGCACGACGGCGGCCATGGACAAGGCCGCCGTAAATGGCCATTTCCACGTCGTCCAGTGGCTCCAGCAGCACCGCACCGAAGGCTGCTCTCCCAACATACTCGATCAAGTCATCATGAATGGACACAAAGACATCGTGCTATTTCTGCAAAAGCACTACATCGCCACGTTCTCGCCGGCAGTGTTTCAAGCGGCCGCCACGTACAACGACGTGGACCTCGTCCAGGAGCTGCACTTTGTCTGGCACGCGCCGTGCACGGCCGCCGTCATGGACACAGCCGCCGCCCACAGCAGCGTGGCGATCGTCGAGTTTCTGCATCGAAACAGGACGGAAGGCTGCACGGTGCGGGCCATGGACAGCGCTGCCTTCCGCGGCGCCGTCGACGTGGTCCGATTCCTCCACAACAACCGAGATGAAGGATGCACGACTCTCGCGCTGGACGCGGCAGCCCGTTGCGGCCATCTACCGGTCGTCCAGTTCCTCACCGAGCACCGCACCGAGGGTGGTACGGTGCATGCGATGGACCGAGCGGCACACCGCGGCTTTGAAGCCGTCGTACGCTACCTCCACAAGCACCGAGATGAAGGCTGTACGACACGCGCGGTGGACTGGGCCGCCGCCGCAGGCCATCTCTCCATTGTACGCTTCCTCTTAAAGCATCGATCGGAAGGCGGTACGTTCCGAGGCATCTACTGGGCGGCCTGGCACGAGCATCGTGACTACCCTGCCATTGTGGCTTTGCTGCTGCAGCACGACACGACAAAGGCGCATGCTGCCGCCGCCGTCGAGCGAGCACTGCGAATCGGCGACCGGAGAACCTTTGATGCCCTTCTCGCCGCGGGTTGCGACGGCTCGATCGATGTCAACGTCGACGCCATCGATTGGCGACCACCGAGTCGCGCGGACGTGCTCCATGACGACCCCGCGACAGGGGAATATGGCTACGCCGACAAAGACGAGGACGAAGAGTATTTCCGGTTTGACATGTACTAGTACAGATACTGAAATCTGTCAGTGAATCTTCGCTGTATTGATCTCGAATCGGCTTCAATAATGACATGAATGTTACGTGAGTGTCGATGCATCGCAGCAGTTGGCGCATCTCTCGGGAGGGTGACGGAAACACGATTGCACATTCCAGTGCTCATGACAATGGGCAACATGAATGTAGAGTACTCGCATTGGAAAGGAATGAACGACGTATTCCAGTTCAGATTTGCCGTTGGGTCCTCTGCAAGCTCACAGCGGCCACCGTTCTCTCCGAGTTGGTCGCTAACTACAATACCTCCGGCGTTCGGACACCAAAATGTTTGTCGTCCGAACTTGGGACACCAATCACAACGCTACAAAAAAATGAATGTATGTCAATGCCACGCTGCCGAAAATAAGTTGCCACATCGGAAGGCATTGGTGTACGCAACGTGTTGGAAACGAGAGATGCGAATCATACAGGCATATCAAACACAGAGAGGACATCACGGTGCAGAGAAGACACATTAGCGATGACCATAGCAGCGATAAGCGATCAGCGATCGGCCCACGCGCAGCACCATGTAGTGATAGAAGAAGGAAGAGCTTCGAGGAGAAGCGGATACACTTGTAGGCAACGGAACTAACCGACCTAGACGAGAGTTGCAG